TGTCATTTCTCCGATCACAAATGTAGACATGGTTTTATGTTTACTCGGCGCGATGCAACGCAACGCGTAAAAAGACAGTATACGTCATTATAATCAGTAATTATGTCCCTACTGGATGCAACAAATGCCTCGTTTGTAATGGGTTTTAATGTTTTTGTGTCGTTGCTCCGGCCGGACACGGCATCAACAGTATGTGAGGGGCGTAACATTTCCGTCTCACGCTTGAGGTATTCGGCCAATCACAACGCATTGGATAGCTGGCCAATCACAGCACACCTCGCTTTTTCAGACCGATGAGTTTTGTAAAAATCGACACGTTTCAAAAAGGCAGGGCATAGAGGAGAAACAATAATGTACAGTATGTGGAAAATAATGTTTTTTTTTACTTTAAACCGCATAAACACATTTCATTACACCAAATACACCAAATATTGTTCTTTTTAGCAGCATCATATGACCCCTTTAATTTTATAGGTCTATAACCCTACTGTATGACAACTATTGACTCATTTAAGTCTATATTTTATTTCTCCAAGGAAACAATGGGAGATTCATCTGAGATTTATTGATACTTAAACTGACACTGAAAGCTGTATGATGTCTCTGAAGCGATGAAAGAACAACATTTGAGCAGTTTTCCTCTAGTTTGGTGATTGAATTCACAATTCAGTGAGCCAGGGATGAAATGACATCACTTTAAATAAATAATGAGCATTAATATTCAGTCGCAGTCAGCAGTCTTGTGATGCAATTTAGCTGAACATGGAAGCACCAGCGAAAATCACACAGACTTCAGGATGAACTCAAATGCATCTTAAAGCGACGATTTTAAACTGTAAAGCGAGGAAGCAGCGTGTTTTGGTCTTGACTCGACTCACCCGTCGTGTTCGTCCCGTGCTGCTCTGGTCTGCGCCGCCCCGTTTACTGTCCATATCAGCGTGAGAGGATGAGGAAGAGGAAGGCGGAGGAAGACCCAGACGCAGGCCTGCAGACCGATGGCTCACCGGAGAGCCGCTGCCGCTCTGAAATACACACAGACGCAACACTATAATCTCATACTCGGTTTTTTTCAACATTCAAAGGACTGTATAGTATGAAACTTCTTCATTCAAATTTTTTAAAAATATTTAAAATATACAAATATTATTAAACAATCTCCTATCTAGAAAAATATTAGAAACCTTTTTATATTTCTATATTATAGAAATATTAGATTAGATTAGATTTAAGTAGATTCAACTTTATTGTCATTGTGCAGATATAGTTGTGATTTTAACACGGGAACTGGTTCAGTGAAAATGTATAACACAATAATAGTAATTACAGCAAAATTGTTATTTTTGCTGGAAAATCAACCCAAAAATGGCTTTGGGAGAACTAATTAAATACTTTACAAATTACAAAAAACTTTTTAAGATTTAGTTCTTTTCTTTTTATTTGCATCTTGACATTAGCATTCACAAAATCTGATTTTTCATAACAAATGAATGATACTGCCTCACATTATGGCTCTGAAATACACACAGACGCAACACTATAATCTCATACTCTCGGTTTTTTTCAACATTCAAAGGACTGTATAGTATGAAACTTCTTCATTCAAATTTTTTTAAAATATTTAAAATATACAAATATTATTAAACATAATCTCCTATCTAGAAAAATATTAGAAACCTTTTTATATTTCTATATTATAGAAATATTAGATTAGATTAGATTTAAGTAGATTCAACTTTATTGTCATTGTGCAGATATAGTTGTGATTTTAACACGGGAACTGGTTCAGTGAAAATGTATAACACAATAATAGTAATTACAGCAAAATTGTTATTTTTGCTGGAAAATCAACCCAAAAATGGCTTTGGGAGAACTAATTAAATACTTTACAAATTACAAAAAACTTTTTAAGATTTAGTTCTTTTCTTTTTATTTGCATCTTGACATTAGCATTCACAAAATCTGATTTTTCATAACAAATGAATGATACTGCCTCACATTATGTAACACTTGCAAAAACATTAAAGCATAACATTACAGCTCTTTGTTAGAGCCATAAATAGCAAACAGGTTTATAATAAATTAAGTTTATAATACATTTCTTGATATTAAGAACGATTATGTATATTAATGCATATTTTAAACCTTTATACTGTATCACACGACTTTAGCCAATTTCATACAAAATGCATACTGTATATGTAGATTTATTTATTTAGTCATTTATTAGACGCTTTTATCCAAAGCGACTTACAAATGAGGACAACAGAAGCAATCAATTGTAGTATTAAAACAACTAAAAACAGATCCAAAACTAAAAGCTAGAACTTTATAAATACTACCTATACACATTTTAAAAATAAAGAGATTAAATTACTCTTAATTAATAAAGATAACCATTAATTTTTTTATTAGAAGGAAGGAAGGGGTTTGGTAATAGAAATTCTTTTGACTGTTGAAATAGTTAAAAATCATATTTAATTTGAAGCTTGATCAAATGCCAATAGTTCCTCAGTCTGATTTTTGTTTTTGAACAAGAGAAATGAAAAGTAAACTATTAGACTGCAAGATTATGGTTCTATGGGTCAAATCCACAAATGCACAGTTCCTATGGAAATTGTGGAGAATGGAAAATGACTTAAACCAGTACAATAAAAGTACAAAAAAACTATACAATAAAAACCATAATAATCAAAAACAACAACAATAAAAAAAATACAACAACAAAAACCTAATTCCATGACAATCTAATGCATGTCATAAATCATTTTTAATTCTAGAAAATGCAATTCTATACAAAAATCCAATTGAACATAAAATCCAATCAGCAGTGCAATCCTTACAGAAAACAAGAGCATGCAAACACATGAATAATCTACTTCTCTACTGGATGGACCAATGAGAAGATGCATATTCACAAAACGCCACAGAACACTGAGGTTTAATACTCACCCTGTTTGGAGCTCCATCTACAGAAATGAAGAGAGACACAGAAGGATTGACTCATTGAGATATGATGATCCTGTTATCTTGAGCATTCACAATATAATATCAAGAATATTCCAGATTAATTTCAGTCTAATGTCTATAGATCAAATCTCAGGCATGCTGTCGCTTAAAGAAAAAAAAAAACTAATTTACAGTAATGTCTATGGGGTTTTTTAATGTACACATGTTGCTATTTGAGCTGTTGAAATAATCATTTTGAGGTAGGACTACTTTTCTAGGTGGAGGAAAATTCAAAGATTTCATTTCTTGTAATTGCTGTGAATGGAGTTTGATCTGTGTCTCCATGTCTGAATACACATGCTTTCCTATGTATAGTACTTCCTTTTAAAGTATGCAAAAAGCAGTCAGGCCTCAAGGGGTAATGGTAATTTTGCATAAATTAATGGCCGTACAAGAAATGCTACCAACATTTGAAATTACTATAGATTAGCGCTGTCAAACGATTAATCGCGATTAATCACATCCAAAAAAAGTTTTTGTTTACATAATATATGCGTGTGTACTGTGTATATTTATTATCTCTATATAAATACACACACATGCATGTACATATTTAAGAAAAATTGTAT